AGGGATTCAGCATCCCGACACGATTACATTCCCAGCTGGCAACCCCATGCTGATCCACGCAGGAGCTGAACAGTCACTAACCCGGTTGACAATTCCCCCTGGCCTGCCTGCAATGCGACGTAGCCTCTACTACGGTTTATCATCACTGAGCCCAAGATACGCAGACTTTGCTTCTCCTGCTGCCAGTCAAGCACACCCAGTCCTGTAGTCACCCATCATCTTCACCAAACCCAAATGGCTCTAATACATCACGTCAAACTCGCTGTCATTCCATGGGTGACTAAAGAGCTCCACGTCAGCTCCCTAATTAGTAGTTTTTAAATATGCCTTAATTTTTCCAGTGATCTCATGCCTCATTTTCCCCATTTGAGATTAAATGTCAGTGTTTTCTCAAGCTGGCAGTTACCAATCACGGCTCCGGAGGCTTCTGCTGCTGCAGACCAAGAAGGACAGAGGCAGCTCAGGGCAGTGGGTCAGGGCATCCTCTGTAGGGTAGAAGACCTAGATCCACCTCTGATACCCCCCTGTAATTCTGAGCATTGCTGCCATACTAAGAGCAATTCCCATTCAGTTCTTTGAGATCTACCCCGGAAATTTTTTATTGTTATTTTTGCTTCTTACGTTGCCCCAAGGAAATCACATCTATCCCACAAGCGTTCGTGCTGGCTCAAGGGAAGGGAAAGATCACCGATCTGTTCATCCCGCTCGCTTCAGACACCGATACAGCTAGCAGCCTTAGCGGCAGTTCACACAGGAACATACTGGTCAAACCAAACCGCACGTCACGGCAACTCTCCGGTGCTCCTAGCGTGCTGCACTGGAGAAACATATTTCGTTGCTCTCTTCTCCCGTGCAGGAATAACCTGAATTTGGCAGAGAGCAAGTTTTGCTCCCCAGGGCTCAGGAGGGGAAACATTACTTCATCCACTCCCTATGGGGACGGTAACTAACCCCGTGCAGGAAAGCCCAATCTGATCGACAGCCTTGGAGCCGGAGGCAGACACTGCCCACATCTTCTACCTGCCCTTGAAGTAATTAATCAAGGAGCTGAGGCTGAGCCCTCCCTTCCTCGCCCTGGGTGTGCAGAGCCACAAAGGATGCTCTGAGCCTGGGTCTGTGATCCACAGCAAACAAGCTGATATTTGCTTTAGGAGAGCTCCTGCTCAGGAACTGCCAGCCCTCCCCTAAGTTGTGTAGGAAGTCAGGGGAAAACAGGGTATTAATCTGCCAAATACCCAGATGGTTCCTCAGCAGGCTTTTAGCACGAGGCTGGAGGCTTCCAGCGGGACTAAAACCACCAAGAACTATTCCTGAGCCACACGTTACCTCTTCTTCTGGGGAAGCTGCTTTCTGGGGCTCTGCACCAAGGGGAGACAGGACAGTAGTGGGGCAGACGTTCCTGCTTGAGGGCTGGCTCTTCTTGGATATGCAGTCTCCTAAAATTCACATACGAGTACTCGCTTAGATCTCTCCCCTCAAAGAGGGTGAGATCCTGCCCCCAGGCTTTTGCTTCTGCGTTACAGTCTCTCAGAGCCACCGAAGCAAAACGATCTGCCTAATTACTCTTATTACTGACAGCAATAAAAGCATCTCAATATATAGTGGCTGTCAGCCACACACAAGCTGAGTGAGGCTTTGCTAATTACTGAAGTTTCCCGTGCTGACAAAGGGATCCCAAGGGATGCAGTGACCGATGGGAAACAACCCTGTACAGAGGACTTCCAGCGCCGCACAACAGATCTCCTAGACTAGAAGCACGTTGTAGGACCTTGCCACAGGGTCCCGTGGCCACTGCAGGCACCCATATACAAGCACAGGATCTGGTCTTACACCTTGAAGACCACTCCTCATACCATAGTAGGTACTTCTTGGAGACAGGAGTTCAACATGAGTCAGGAGTTAGGGAGTTCTGAGCAGAGAAGTGATTCTCCTTCCACAATTCCAGCATCTCTCCAGCACCTCCTGTCTCTGGTAGCCTCCTTTACTTGCATGGAGCGTCTGCCGTAGAGGTTATTGTTTCTGGGTGCTATGGGACTGGTGAGTTTGTTTTGCACCCCCGGCACAGCTCTGGGAAGCTGTCACACATCTCCTTAACCACGTGTCCCTGAGCAAAGCTCACCCTCCCACGCCAAGCTTGTGCTATACTGCCAGGTTGCAATGAACGTGATGACTGCAGCAAACTGGGTTTGATGTACAAACAGCAGCAGTCAGGGTAACCAGCTCGGGCATCTCACTTGAGAACTGCTTGAGAGCTAAAAGAATAGCTAAGCTTTATGAATACTGACTTGGTTGAAACTAGACTTAACTCCATAAATTTATTTTCCACATCCACATGAGGTGGGTTAAAAGTCACCTGGGAAGGGCCAAGCCACCAACCAGACCTTCAAGCGGTCCTGAGTGCAGAACCCTTTCCAAACCAGGGCGTGTGCTTGGCATGCAGGCTTCAGAAACCCCTTCTGATACTATCATCTGATGTTAAAGTGACAAATAGGGATGATGAGTAGCCCAGAACATCCCAAGTCACCTTCATTTCAGGATGGGCTGGGATTTTTCACACCCAGACACACGTGCATGGGGCGAAATGGAGGAGTTTGGACACGTAAAGCACAGAAGGTCAAATTTTCATTGTAAATTGTAAAGCTTTTAGCAGCAAAGGCATCTTCTTCACACTCATCTGTAAAGTTTGTAGCAAGGACTACCAATAGATGTACTGTCTATCCCGGGGACAGTCCCTACATTCCTAGCCAGCACAGTCTAAAGGATGCACGATTTAAATCAACCAATTAATAGGCAAAGGGGACATTGTGACTTATTCACATTGAAGAGCTCCATGTTTGCTTAAGCAATGCTAGGGACAGATTTGACCCAACTTCAGCAAAAATTAAAGCAATGCAACATGCACCTGATCCTGCGTATGCCACACTAACAGCAGCATGATTTATTGAGAACTGCTGCCACTTGTGAGCTGAGCAAGTCAATACCGACACACAGTAAAGCAAGGAAAATGCCTCCCAACATCCTAAATTGCTATTTTGCTCTTAGCGCTTTCTGTTTTGTAATAAACAGTCTGGTGGTGGCTCTGAAAGAGCAACGCAGCTGCTTTTTGTATGCGAGTCACAGGGAGTCTGACTTGGCGCAGGACAAATTAGCCAGGGCTTGCCATGCGAGGTTGGGCGATATTGTCTGGTGCTCTACACTACACCTGCAAGAAGCAGCTCTTAAGACTGATTGATTAAATGTTTTGGTTTCACTTTAGCAATTAATCTCAGCAGCCTTTTACTTACTTGTATGCTTCAAAGCTAGAGAGATAATCCCTTAATTATTCCCTTGCTCTCCTTCTCAATCCATGGTTTATTTAAAAATAACTGCAGCACTGTACTGACAGGCAGGAATGAATCCTGGGTTCATCTCCCAGGTAGCTGCACATGTTCCTGGGAGGTCGCCCATCTCGGAGCCAGCAGATAGTTTGATCCCTGTGGTTCTATCCACGCAAATCGCTTTTGCAAAGATTAACCACGGAGGACCCAGGTGTTTCAGTCCAGTAAGAAGACGGATCAGGTTTTCAAAGCAAGCCATGAAGATCCTGGCCCTGATTCTTCTCTTGGTCTTTTCATTCACATAGTATAAACCCCACACCCTAACCTCTAGTGTAGTTAGCCCTGATTTACCCCAGAGAAAGAGCTAGCCCTCTGAATTTTATCCTATAGATTCTCTATATGCATACACAAATGAGGCACTTTTTGTGCTCTCTACCTGGAATTTCACTGTTTCTTTCAAGAAACAGTGTGCTCCGAACCCATGAGCTTCTCCGAGTGAGCACGAACCATTCTCTGTGAATGGTTATCGACATTAACTGTCAGATATTAAACAAAGCTGTGATAATTCATAAGGCTTCAAAGAGCACTCAGAAGATATAGGAGCATTTTTACAACTTCTGCAAACTCAAGACAACCAAAATGTTCATTGCTAGGCTAAAGCATCACAGTAGCACCTGGATTAGGACACCATGCTTCCCAGGACCGAAGTTCGGGAATAGGGACAAAACAAACCTCTCTTTCAGGCAGGAGAAAACACACACCAAATGCATTCATGCAAGTGAGAAAGTGTCTCGTTCACCAAGGTTGACAGAAGCATTTTAATGTCGCACCTTTTCCTTGAGTTCTCCCCACTTAAAGTGACTTATAAAGCTGACAGTATTTCTGTGGCCTGACCTTGGTTTCTCATACCCTGCTATAAATTTTACAGCTGCCTCAGGAGGCAGTGAGCACATCCTGCCAAATCCCAAGAGCCCTCACGTCCTGGCTGCTTGAGTCCTGATGTTAAGAAGTGTGGGATGTAGATGGGTAGAGGGCAACATACCAAAAAGGGTCTGTGGCAAGACGACGGAGAAGCACGCAGGGGACAGAGGTGTGTAAAGGACAGTGGGCATTGGAGAGAGTCTGATGGAGACATGCATTCCCATGTTACACTTCAAACATAGCATCTGGGAATAAAACTTCACACATGCATACGCACGCTGCAATGGAGAATCAGTATTTCTCCTCCTTCCACTCAGCAACTCCCAGCAAAACAAGACTCCAAAATTTCACTCCTTTGTGATGGGATCTACTTTAACAACCCCCTAATCACCAACTATTTTTCACTTGTATTTGAGGTAAAGCTGGGACAGGGAAGGTACACCTGGTGAGGAAATTAAGGTGGCCGGGACAACAGGGAATGATAGATGACTGTCACGGGGGGTGCTGGGTGGAGGATACCCTGCTGACACCAGGGTCCCCCAGGGATGGACCAGCACACAGGACATACGGAACAAGGACAGACTCAGCCTTTGCTCCTTATCTACTCATTTCTAAGCACTGAAACATGCAGAGGTTTTGGAAAAACAAAAAAAAACGGTTTCAGAAGTTGTTTGCAAAGCAAACTTAACATTATTCAGCTTAGAAGGGGTTCCATTTTGAAGAATGCAGAGAGCGCGCAACCATGCAGCGCCCAGAACTTACCTGTGTCATAGTGAACTATCAGGGATCTGGAATGATCCCCGGTCTTCAGCGGGTGAAACTCCACTGCTACTTGCATGGTGTCTCCAATCCCAAGAGTCCCGATGGAGGGATCGACAGAGAAAGGGCTGCACACAAAGAGAGATATCAGGACTATTGTGAGAGATTTGGGGACTGTATTCCTTTGGCAGTCTAGTTCACTTCAGCTCACTTGTGCAAGCAAGGAGCAAACAAACGACAGTCAACAGAAGAAAAACACAACGTACAGGATCAGAAACAGAGCTACTGACTCTCACTTCTGAAGAGATCCAGTCCTCAGAAGATCCTGTGGTATAAAATTACCTTGTCTCCCCCACTCGCTGCATCCAGTTCTCTGCAGCGAGGCTCAAGAGTCCGACTGCTAGCAATACAACCAGAGAATGGTTTTTGAAGAGCACAGAGATGGTAAGAGCTATTTGCATGCACAACTGGACACTGACTTCCTCAGGAATCCTGCCACCCACAAACCTCACCTCAAGAGATGCAAATGTCAAGGCAATACCTGTTTCAATGAGATTACAGCTGAGAAATCAGACAGGGAGAATAAAAGTCTTTCTTGAAGACCAGAGAATTATTACAGTTTAATTTCCAGAATTCATTTTTTAACCTTGAAAACATCACCTTTTAGTCTAAGAAAGGTCACATTTTATCAGCATTTCAATGAAAGCTGCTCTAAGAAGAAAAGGAACGATCAGAAAAATCTGAATGAGTGAGTGCAAACGCAGATTAGAGCAATACCATGACACGGAAACAAGACACAAAAGGAGTATCCCATTTACAGCCTGAATGATTAAATCCCTAGCTAAACGAAGCGCCATTAATAGGAGCATATCAAGGCGAGTTTAACAGGAGGTTTTCTCTGCGTTCACAAGCAATGCAATCTGGGACTCTGGGTTGTAATCCAAGCTCGTTAACTGTTTGCTTGGCCCACCAGACAAACTCTGTGCAATGTGTTGGAAATAATTACGAAAATGTGTTGGTGTACTTTGGATTTAATATGAGCAATTACGATTTGTCACCAGGTAAACATCTCTTGGCTGATAGACACAAAACTCAGTGCTTTAATGCTTAGGGACAAGTCGGATGAAACACGCTCTTGCACAGCCCCACTTAGAAAATAAAAGTTATTGGTTTTAGTGCTTTGCTGGTAGTCAATTTTTCACCTTAAAAATATGTTCTGGGGAGTTTTACCACGATTAGAAATGCAACGCGCACACAAAAATAATGAGAACAACTGGAGCCATGCACAAGCTGAACTTTGTCACGTAAGTAGTGACAGCTGATAAAATTGCTGGAGTTTCTGCTCATTAAGGAGATATTGCTGCAATTAGGGGCCTGACCTGTTCCCATTACAACTAGTGAGAACATTGCTGCTGACTCTTACGGAGAAGCACTGGGCCTGCAATGATTACGTGCTGGACTTGAGACTTTTGAGAGAGAGAAGGAAAGACAAGGCACCACCAGCCTCAGAACTGGATTGCTCTACGTGGTCCTGCATCTGCACTGATGGTTACGCCAGGACTGCTGCAGGTCTCTGCTGGCGCTTGGGTGGGATCATGGCCTGCTGGGGGAAAGGCACAGAATTTTTTTTTTTTTTTTTTTGCCAGAAATGTTGCCAGAACAGAAAAGCTGCTAGTTAAGGAAGGGGATTCCTGGCAACACTTCAGCACTACCTCCCATCCCATCGTCTTCCTACTCCTTTCCCATGTCTATATACTCCTGCCCTTGGATGGCTGGGATGGGAATAACACTCCCGGGGGTGACTTCAGGGGATGCCTGAGAAAACAGATATCTTCATATTTTCAAATTATCAAAAGAAGAGGATCCAACCCAGTTCAGGATTGAGTTCTCAGGACTGAGAAACCAAGCACAAATCAGACACTATCTCCTACATCCCACCCCATGCTGTACCCACAACCGCTCTGTTACTGCTGTAGCAGGAGCTCATTATCCCTCACACGGACTTGGTTCTCCAAGACCCAAAGATGCAAGCTCCATGGTTAAACTTAAGTCCTCTGAATTTCAGTCAACATCACTAAGCTGTTCCCGGCAGCCTACAGATAAGAGATGCTAAGGAGACGTCCCTGACACGTCGTAATAGCCAAATGGAAAGCACTGCCAAGAGACGAAGCTGGCAGGCTAAACTTTGACCTTTTATCCATTAATTGTGAGCTGTTCTTTAAGATAATTCTGGTTCTGTTACATCTACCCTTTTAATGAATCATCACTGCTCCTGAAAGACGGAAAAGAGAAGGTTTGGAGGTTTTTTAATAGCTTGTTTTCTTCTGACATGCTTTTTAACTAGGTCCATTTGGATGACTGCTTTGTTGTACAACATCTAAACTTCCACAAGTCCAGATCTCCCAACGGTACCTTGCAATCCCCAGCTTGTATAAACTCATCTAGCCACACCAATTTAGGAGAGGCCTTCCCACCAGTACCTGCTGAGATCTTGCCTGCTATTGCCCTAAGAGCAATCGCCCAGAGAGCAACACTAGATTTGTAAGCAATTTCATAATGATATATTTTAGCATTTACATCTCGCTTACTTTCACCAGGCATCAGCTCCCCATCTTGACAGAGCTGGACAAAAGTTATGTCCCATGAGGATACCAAGGGCCGAATACTCCTGACATGATTTAGAAACACAACTGACAAGTGAACAAAGCCGGCAATTCTGTGACTCAGGCTCTCCACCACGCCGCCGTTTCTCCTGCAACCATATATTTAGCAAATGCAGTGTGCAAGGAGGGTACAATACCCTTCCTCAAGTCCCATAGCATGTTTACCTTCTACGACCAAACTTTCTTTGGTCTACTGGTGCCTTAATTTGCATTATAAAATAATTTGAGTTAGGGAGAACCAATTTCATTAAAAGCTACCTCCAACTCCAAGGCAGGCAGTAAAATCTACTGGTGATTGAATTCCTCATCTGTCCACTAAGACCTACTGCAGGAAAAACCCAAAGATGATTTAATCTCAGCATGTATTACTTTTCAGTAACGGTATAGCAGCCGAAATCAAGCAGTGTAACTATTCCAGTAAACCCAGTCTGTTGGGTCAAAGCAGCCAAGACTCCATCTCTGTGCTGACAAACCTTGTGTAGAATCAGCATCTCGCAGCTCTCTCTCTCCCTCTTTCACTGCACTTAGACTCTATTTTCATATTCTTGCATGGTCTTTGTACCCTATGATGTCTCCAATCCCACGCCTCCATATAGTATATGGGTACTATAGCGAGGGAAGCAAAGGGGGCTCCAACCACTGCGCCTCGTGGAATAATTCCCTGAGCTTTCAGAGCTTAGTGGGGACATTCCGGAACAGAGCTGCTTATCTCAGACTGACCCTCTCTAGCCCCATAGCGTGGCATAGCACAATGTCTGTAACGCCAGGAAAAGGCAGTGCTGCACTGAGATCTGCTTCCAGGCACCATTTTCAACTCAAATGTACTGGAATGCATTTATCTCCCTGAATGTCACGGAGAAGAAACTCATTATCCCGCCTTAACAGTGAGAACGACAGGAAGAGATTTTCTATATTTATACTATTATTATTCTTTATTACCAAGCTATGCAGTTAAGAGCTGGCTACGGACATGCAGAGGCAGGACAGGCACAAAGCCAGACTGCATAATGGGGAGTGCTTTGGTGATTTTTTCCCCTTTATGAAAAAGTGGTCAAAACGTGGCCATGTTTTCTGGTAGATACCATGGCAAGGGAGAGCTCTGAACAGGGAACAGCAGAAGGATGCTGAACTGGCCCCACGGATTCACTTAAGGGCTTTTCCCTGGAGTGAGATGCACCACAGAAAACATGAAAGTCCTTAGATAAATGAGTAACAACAGGGAACGTCATCGTGAACTGACCAGATGTAAGAGCTGAGCTCTCAGTACTGACCGAGAGGAAAGGTTAGGATTGGAGATGGGCTGAAAAATGGAGGGAAGGTGAAAGCAGATAGATTATGCTTGATGCCATAGAGAAGGGAATCCAGAGAAAGGAGGCAAAGAAAAGTGGTATGAGCAGGCACTGGACTAGGAAATGGTGGCACCTGCAGCTGACTTGCGAATGGGCAAGAGCCTGAATTTGCTCAGGCCGGAAAACAAAAGTGGCAGCAACTAAGACAGAAGTGTCAATTGTGCAGATAGAGAATAAAGGACTTTGAGGGCAGCCGATGGGTCTATAAACTTAGACAGATCTCCCATTCCCTTCTACTCCACTAGTCCTCTTCCCTCTCTCATACGCATGCGTGTGTGCTTGTACATAACACACAAAGCTCTTACGTGATATTAAGATTGGCTTTACACAACACCGCATCTTTACTCAGCAAAAGTTAAGCACACATTCAATTTAAGCTGCTTAAATTCTCCACTAAATAAGAATAGACTGAAACAGTCCTGAATTTCAGTCTGTAAGGCTGGCACTCCTTTCCCCTAGCACCTATGCCATAACTCTTGATTACTGCATCTCGTATTTACACTTCAAGCTCTCCAGGGCAGGGAACATAACTCATTCATTTCCAAAGCACAGTTTTAAGTGTTCTGTGATAATAATCAATCATCAAGTTATTATGGAAGTCGTTCAAAAGAATTAGTGACATTAAACTAAATCTTCACTACCTCTGTTGTTAATAACGATGCAGCCTTTGTTATAGCCTCTACAACAGGGAAATTAATCCCCTAACATTAGCAGGAAAATGGCCTCTCTTGTGAAAGCCTCTGTAAATATTGTTCAAAGACAATTGCCAGCTAATGATCTACTAGCCTGTGGAGCAGTGTATTGGTCTGATTCTCAAGCCAACTTGTCACGCCAGCTGGGAGACCAATTCTTTTCTGCTGGGGTTGCTAGAACCACAGGGATCACCTGGGAGCTCAGTGCTAGGTATCTGAGCAACTTCTCATAGCACAACAAGCAAGGAACCAACCATCGATCGCTGCTATCAAGAGACTCAGTCATGTGAAAGTTGGCAGATACGGTAGAGGGTCCAGAGGCACTCAGACAGCAAGAAAAGGGTTGGTGCAATGCAGTGATGACCACAGTATGGTTCCCAGCACTGGCTGGAATCACCACTTCTGGTACGCCATGGTCTCATCACATAGGGAGAACGTGGTTGTTCAGGTCTTGGGATGCAAGGGGACATCCTGACCTGGTCAACAGGAGGGAACACTCAAAATTTGGTGGATGGTACCAAACTGGGGGGAGTAGTCAACACACTGGAGAGCTGGGCTGCTATTCAGAGGGACCACAACAGGCTGGAGAAATTGGCTGATGTGACTTCATGCAGTTCAGGGATGGAAAGTGCAAAATCCTGCATTTGGGATGGACTAACCCCTGGGAGTACAGGCTGGACATTGATGGGATAGAAAGCATTTCTACAGAAGAGGACCTTAGGGGCTGGAGCACAGGACGTGCAGGGAGATGCTGAGATAAATGGGTTCGTACAGCCTTGAGAAGGAAAGATGAAGAGTGATCTTAGTGCTGTCTACAACTACGTAAAGGGAGGGAAGGCCTAGAGAAGATAGGGCCAGGCTCTTCTTTGAGATGTGCAGTGATAGGATAAGGGAAAACGAACACAAGTTGCAGTAATGGAAAATCTGAGTAGATATTAGGAAAAAAAGTGTCACCATGAGGGTGGTTGAACGCTAGAAGAGGGACCCAGAGAAGCAAGGGAACCTTGAAGATGTTCAAGGCTCAGCACAAAAAGGCCCGGAGTAGCAAGTTATGCTATTGCAAACCTGCTCAAACTTTGACACTGGTCTTGATTTGATCAGGGTGTTTGCTCAGATGATCTCCAGAGGTCCCTTCCAAAGTTATTCTATGATTTTATCTTCTAAATCAGCCCAATTCCATTTCCTATATTCCCCAAATTTCTCCTATTTCTTACACATCTCTGCATATATATCTAGACAGATGGGAGATAGACAGGCATTAGAGGAACTCAACCTTTAAGAAAGTTCCCAATGAAGAATTCATTATGACATTTTACTGAACCTTAAAGCACAAAAAAAAAAAAGAACAGAAATACAGGAACTTCAGAGTATTTAAAAAGAAATCTGAATGAAAGTGGGGGTGACTTAATTAGAATAAAATGCTGCTTATGTTCAAAGATTTAAATCATCTGTTTGAAATTTCAAACTGGCTTTCAAAAGTTCATAATGAAATGGAAAATATGACTGATGCCCTCAGCTGACAAGGGAAATCATATCAGCTTTTGATCTCTGTTCACATGCAATCCAGTTATTCAGAATTCTACTTTTTTTGTGCAGTTTGAAACAAAACTTACGTAATGCTTACCATTTCTTTATTGCAAATCAGGACTGAAATATTTAATTGCTGAAGTTCAGAAACTCTTAAAGGGAGGAGGATTCAACATATGCTGTATCACTCAATAGAATAGTTGGCAAGTACATTACAAAAAGATGCTAGACTTTACTGGGTATTTATTTTGGTGGTGACAACTAGATCTGGAAATCCCAGAGGAAAACTGTACAGTGCTTTACAAGTTCCTGCCTACGTATTTTCCACAGTGAAAAGCAGCAGCCTACTTAAACAGCATCCTAGAAGCCTGCTTAAATAGCTTTGCCAGGCTTTGGTGGAAGCTCCTCTTGGACCCTCACATTTCACAGGAGAAGAGTGAAAAGTCGTCTTTTCAGCCCTGTTTTCCTGGGACAGAAATTGAGGCAACTCAGGGGCACCAAGTCAGACAGAGGGTCTTTGCTGCATTCTTGACCTCAGCTCCTACACCGAGACCTCTGGGACCAAGCAACTCTCAACTAATTATCAGCCAATCGAACCGGTTTCCTGGCAGATGTGGTGTCAAAAAGGCATTACCCCCTCCAATTCAGCAAATTGGAAAACCGGTGACTGTCTTCGGAGAGCAGAAGGACCAGTACCTGCTGTCCGCAACACAATTCACATCAGGCATTTGATTACGGTACCACCGGAATACCATGTGTTTGTGGCCCCCCAGAGAACGGGTGTATTTGGCCGATAGTGGTATGTAACCATTTCAGAAGGTACCTACCATCAGGAGGTTGCAAGCTAGCAACTAATATTCTAGCACTCTCCAGGAAATCTGGGAGAGATAAAGATCTAGAAGAAAATGCCCCCAACCCGTGCACCAGATATTTGCTGCATCTTTTGCCCGTGTCCTCATTAGCCGTCTGGCTGTAGGGCAGTTTGCAAGCCAGTGTCTGCTCATCTCCACTTAATATCTCATTCTACTTAAGAATATTTAGTCCCAGAGACCAGACCAAACCTACTGCAAAACAAAGTTCCTGGACCACACAGTGTTACTGTCAGGGCCTCAATACCAATTGTTTTGATCTACAATCTCTGATTGCACTTGCTAATATAGACACAGCTGCTGATAAATTCTTAAGCGTCTCTTTCACCAACTCATCGCTGGCCATTTCCTAACACTGCATTTGGTCTACCTGAACTGAGCTCCTAGAGCTGTCGTCCGCCATGCAGTATCCTACACAGCCCAAGGGCAGTCAAGTTGCCTTCCTATATTTGTTCTTTCGAACTAGAAGAATTGGTCTTGCAAGATGCTGCACTGGAGACACCACTGCAGTATAAAACTTCCCTGCAGCTTGCAGAGTTTTATCAAAGGTTGCATCATGCTTAAAACACTGTAAGCAACTGCAAAACCCACGTGTCCTGCCCATTTTCAGCTAAAGCTGCAATACAGCAGCTCAGATGCTCTGGTTCCTTTTTGTTACTATTTACCAACTATATTATCACGCTACAGTGTTTTGCACAAAAAGATGAGTTTCTTTACCTCTGAGTGCTGATGCAGTAGCGGGCCTCCCGATTACCGACGTTGCGAACCAGCAGAGTCTTCTGAGTGCTGTACTTGACCGGACAGACGGAGAAGTTCAGCTGGTCAGGGAAGTCCAGGATAGCTCGGGCACCTATAGCTCGGATCGGCACAATAAACTTTTCCCTTTCTGTGATGCAGGTGAGCTGGTGGAAGTAATCCTGAGGGGAAAGAAACAATCTCAGCACAGTGCATTTAGTACCGTCCCCATGGCAGAAGAAAAACTGCTGTTTTCTATGACTAACAGTAGCATTCAGTAATGTAATAGTACTTTTTAATTTAATGACCTTTCATTCCAGTAGCATGACTTGGACAGGGCTGTTGACTTGCAAAGAAGAAACAACCTCATTGATTCACCTGCTTTCGCAGCAAGCTGGCAGAACCAGACAAAATTATCCAATACTTTGATTCTGAGGCACCAAAATAGAGTAATTTCATGTAAGGGATTACAGCGGTAACAAGAACCTGCTTCGATCACCACTGCAGACTATTAATGGCACCACTAAGAACCTGCTTGTGCCACAGCACTAACTCCAATCCCAGCAATACAGGGAGCTTTGAAGCTTGGCAGGGGATGCTCAGGTACATTTTCACAAGGACTTCACCACATGCACAATAAACAGTCAGTCTTTGGTGAAATACTTATCAAGCTGGACACAGTAATTGTTTTAATGTCAGGTGGGTGTAGGGTACATGTGTACTTCCCACCCCTTCCCATAGCATTATAGGGACAAAGCTGGGGACACACACCCCCTTGAAAAGCTATCTGATCCATCCCTCCACCCCAGAACTGGCTCAGCTCTATACCCAAACTATTCTTGAGAGATGTTTGACAAGTACTTAAAAGCACTAACAATTCCACTCCTGCCCTCAGCAGCCTATTCCAGCTCTACCCTAGACTTAGAGAGTTCGTCCTGTATCTAACCGCAAATTTCCCTTTCCATTCCATCCTAGCCTCAGGGGATGCAGGCGAAAGCTTTGCTTTCTCTCTGCTGCACATTCTGGCATGGTTGATGCCTTAAGCACTTCTCTCTTGTAAGATCTCAAGAATAAGTGACTTGGTGCCCTGTTAGCATGCCTACTTGAGGCAGGCGGTATCAGGAGCTGCAAATGGGAGACACTCAGACATCCCTACCAGAGCAAACTCAGCTGTGCTATTCCTAAATCACTGGCTTGTTCAGAAAAGAGCCAGACAGTCCCCCCCCAGCTGCCTGGCATTTAGCAGTAGGAAGGCAAATCAAGCCACCAAAATCGTTTTACTGTAGGATTGAGCAGATCGATCTCCAGATATACAGTGTGGCATCGCTGCGCTGGAAGTATTGCCTTGCCCCTGCTGAAATCAGTGGTAAAACTGTTGCAGCAGGGCCAGGAGCCATTACCTCCAGCAGCTCTTATTGACAAGTTGATAAAAGCTCTGCCTCTTATCACTCACTTGCTGTCATGATCTTTTTTTCCCCTCGGTGCTTTTAACTCGTTTGATATTTTCATAATTGTTGAAGCAGCAAGCAGACAATTTGATTTAGGAATAGCAGCAAACTCCCTTAACCAGAACAGATTCAGAAGATTCAGATTCCTCTGCACTTGGGATTTGCTGCTCCCGTACCCATCCTCTTCAAGCCTGGAAGGGACCTAAGGCAGCCAGACACGTAGTTATTGCTTTAACGCAACAACTAACACCCAGTGCCTACCAACCACCTGCTCAGCTGGGGTCTGAGGTTGCAGTAACAGATGCTGTCACATCCAAGATGTAAAAAGAATAAAGAAGGACCTTTTTTTCTAGACATCTCAAATATTCACACTGGAAATTGCAGAAGGACTTTTGCTTCTCATATTTGGAAGGTAAAATAGCAGGAAGGGAACTGCAGCAAACGACCTACAAAATTGAATATCACATTTCAGGAGAGCATTTCATCTTCAGCAAGTCTTTCTGAATTAGCAATTTTGTACTCAATCTTGCAGCCTAAGACCTCTAAAATAAAAGCTATGGGCAGCCCATGTGAATTTAAAGCACCTATTATCTGGGTACTTCACGTCCTGGACTGTTTAGATCCTCAGAAATTGCATTAGCAAATGAAGAATGCCATTTACTTTTTTTTTGTTATTTTGGCCACACTATTGCAACAAGGGCATTGTAAATCCAATTGAAAGCTGCGTATCTTATTAAGTCTTGGCATGCCGTATTTACTTATCTCTCCCTTCCAGATGCCAGGTAGACAGAGGAGGATGCAAGGAGTTCAGATCAGCAGGGGGATAAAGAAAAAAGAAACTTCAACAATTGGAGGTATTTGAGGGAAGTAAAAGGAAATAATTTTCAAGTCATTGTCATCACTAAGGAGTGAGTGGACCAACAGCAATGTAAATAAGAGCCCAAGGAATAAATCACCCCCAAAAGCAAGCACAGGCAGCCTTCCCAGCTCCGCTGCTGGCGAGAGGCACTGGGACAGCCTGCAGAGCAACGCATGGGAAAAGGGACTTCTCCAGGTACGCAAAGGCAAGGCTAAAGCAACAAGGATTTGGCCTCACAGAGACAACCATGTCCTTTGAGAGAGAAAGCGGCCTCTTGCCATTCATGCCCACGCATGTTGTGCGCTGAGCCCCTTCTCCAGGGGCTGGGACGCTGCATGCTGTACAAGGCTGGACTCAAAGCAGTTCAGCGCGCGTTGACCCTTCAGCCACGCTCTAGGACCCCGAAGTGGGACCTTGCATCAAAGTTGAATGCCGTGTCAGGCCAAACGGGGGGAAACCCAAGGAAAGAGGGGTGCTAGGCAGAAGCTGGCTGCTCATGCCGCTGTGAACCCCTGGTCCCTGAAGCTTTTGAAAGCTGAATCACCCTCCCCGGGAGAAGATAAAGGCTGCAGTTCTCCACCGCAGCACTGCCCTGTGTTACCAACTCTGCTATGCACTTGCTCACAATCTAGGGGTACAGCTGAAATCAGTTTAAAACCTTGTTTTACTTTGCAACTGCAAACCCTTAGCAGGCTGTTTAAAACCAGGTTTCTAAATAAAAATGCCTGGGTGAGAGAGGGGTTGCATCACTTCTGTGCTTTAAAGATTGTTGTGTTTAGACGCAGCTTCAGGCTATAGATTTTCATGAAAATACGACTTCATCCTTCATACAGCTCCGCTCCCAATTTCAGGGAAAATATAGTTCATGGTACAACAGTTCCTCTTCTCTTATTCCCCTTTGATAAGCAATAAGTTACAAGCTCTGGCCTGCAAAGCATCACCACTGGCATTTGAATTAGCACCCACTGAAATTAAAGCAACTGCTTGTATCAAAGGTGTCATTTCAGGCTCTTTGCAAACTCAGGCTAGCATTAATTACTGTCACAGCGATACCAACCTCAACTGCCCACTATGCCAGCAAACTCGGATGTCAGTTTTACTGCATAAATACTTCACCGAATTCCTTGCAGCAGGCAACTGCAAAGAAAAGATCCTTGTAGCAGTAAGTCAAACAGGGAAAGCTCCCTGCTGAAACCATGATACCATAAAGGCTGGAAAATAAGGGCCATTAAAAGAGAGGAGGGAGGCTGGAGGATGAAGATAGCTTCACATGAGAAGGGGTACCCCTTCTCCTGCCCCCCTCGGCTACCAGTTCACAGGATGTTTTGAAATCAGTCCCTTTGCTCCAGGTTCATTTTGCACAGGGCCATTTGCCTTGATCTTCTGCCCCTTTCCTCCTCCCAGGAGTCGTCTTAAAACTACACTTGGAATAGCTTCTGTGTGCTACAAAACATCTAACAGGGCTGGACGAATTTTAAAGGAGTTAATTTCAGTAATGCAATAACTCATCGTCCTGCCATATTTCATGTTAATCAATGAGCAATAATTCAGTCTCCACTGAGCATCAGTAATGAATTTTGCAAACCTTACAGACTGAACTTATATTGCCTGAAAATATTGTATTGCTACAGTGAAAAGAGCAAGAGCACAAAACAGAATAAGCTGTGCTATGTTTTTATATGTTTCTTCCTTCCTTCTTCCTTTAGGATAATCTATTAATAAGCCTGAAGGACACACAAATGTAAGTATTTCTGTCTGTTGTTTATTTGCCAGTCAGTTCCACAACGGTTTCCAATTAGGCAGAGACTGTCAGACCATAATGCAAGGACACCCGGGAACACAGGGTGGCATGAGAACACCCACACTGCACAACTGGAGCCATAAAACAGAAATGTGTAAATCAGAAGCAGCAAGAGTAACTAATTGGAAATGTTGCCCAGCAGAAAAATTAACATTTCATATTTATAATGCAGGTGCCAATAAACAAAGAGACATGTCAGCTATTTATTTACTTTCTGACAGTCCAATCATGTGGCACATTCCCAAACGATGGCGAGACAATAGGGAACTGCTCATTTTTCAAGAAAGGGCTACGTGGCACAAGGCATTTCAGCCACTAACAACTCACGTGATCCTTTTACTTAGGGCTTAGCCGCAATTGTACTCCCTTGAATCAGGAGTGACTTCGCTGAAGCCAGACTTACCCCGGGGAAGAACAGATTCGAAGCAAGAGAATTACATAAACCAACTCCACATCAGGAGAGCTCTCCAACCCCGACAGAGGGATTTGTACCTGCATCCCGGTTCACTGGGTTATCCACAATCCCTGTGGATCGTGGCGCAGCAGAGGTTGTTCACAGGCAGCACTCATAAGCCTTCCACAACCAAAAGGTTTCTGCATGCAAGCCACCGCAAGCCCAACGCAGGTGGCTTTACAGAACCATTTCGCAAAGCCTGCCTCTTTGCTACGGGGTTTTCAAGGTGCTGTGCGCCTCCTGACCGTGCTATTGATGCATTTCTAGCTGAGCTACAGCACTCTGGTACTTCGCTGACTCACACTCCATCAAGTACGAGACAAAGTGTTCGATCTGCACAAAATCCTGATTCTGCTGTACAAATCCCCACCTGCTCCTCCCAGAGCGGCATGCGTCCCTCTCCCGATGCCCTGCACGACCCCTGCAAGGAACACAAAAGCCAGCTCAGCAGAAACCGCTGGGGTGTCGCTGAAGCTGCGCAGAGGACCTCTTGCTGGCAAAGCTCCCTATGCCATACACTCACCAGTTCAAGGGCAAGACAAGGGACAAAGTATTGGACATTAGAGCTCTCGGGGGTTATCTCACCCTGCTTCTATTTGTGGTGATGTTCATGTGTTGCTCTGCTGCCTCTCTAAATTTGAAGAGCAGCACTTTGCCTTTCACAGGCACCAACTTACCTCTTCCACCCCAAAAATGAACACTAAATACTAATAAATCACATTTTAAAGGCACCAGTGTACTTTGCAAAGCCTACCTCAGTGAGATTAAGCTCTTGTGTCACTTGGGTAGTTGGGAGAACTGCCCTAGGCCAACATAATTTTTACCTTAAATATTAATGATGTTAAATAATTTCTCAGTCTCTCCAGAGGAACAGATTATTCCACAAGCATGGGGAGCTAGGGACCACGGGGCATTTCCTCTTTACTTTTCTATATTCATGTTGTTTGAGGATAGGACAAAGCGCTAAACTAAATCTAAGCCGCAAATGAAAGATACCAAACAGCGATGCCCAACGAGATCTTGCACCTCTGGCCTGGCGCAAAAACATCTGCTGGCTCAAAGCTATCCCCTAACCTCGCCTCTCCAACAAAGTCATGCTATGAGGTAGCAGGATGCTGGCGGAAAGAGTCAGCCTGCCTGTCCTTGTTTCCCTGCAATGCTTCCTCCCTTCCGTGCCACGTACTAAATCCTTCTGTACTAACAAGCCTCCAGATAACAGCATTGACCCTTCACGTCACAGCACTGAGAATCAGACTTGCCAGGGCCACGGCACTGATGTTCTAAGCAAAAGCATCGCATGCTTGGCTTGGAATAGGTGCCAGTTGGCAGAACAACCACAAAAACATGCGTGAAGACCCAACCACACCAGATTACTGCTCACGGGCTCTGGGGTAACGTGTCTGCCTACAGATTATACCTGCCTGTTTATTCCCATACATGCTCTTTCGGGCAGGTGTCTCAAAGTCATCTGGCAGCACACCGACCTCCTGCTGCGTTAAGGACATCTAGAGCTCAGTGTGTCTCTGCAGACTGGCTCCCAGCCACGTGCACAGCACTCCCTCTCCCCTAGACTCACAGCTGGATCGCAGGCAGGCAAGTATCCTCAGGGACAGCACAGCTGCAAGGCTTGAAAACAGGGTATGAAAAAGCATCATCTTTGCTCCAGTCCAGGGTGAGGCAGGGAAGTGGCTGCCAGATAGGAAAGAAGAGTGCTCTCTGGATCTATTTGTTCCTCTAGTATTTTCCATAATAATTAAACCCCTACCATTGAGTAGAGAGATGGCTAAACATCTTATCAACACCCCTCCCTGCCATTTTCCTAACTGTTCCATGTGCATCTTCGCTCAAGAAAGCACAGGGAGGGAAAGCACAGCCTGTCAGTCCCTGCTGCAGCAGCTAACAGCATCATGCAATGCCAAGATGTGACTAGCTGCAGGCTGCCTGACCACAGCCTGGAGCAGACCCTGCAGCAGCAGGTGGACTATAACCAGCGTGCAAAAAAAAGTGACAGCTTCAGAGATAATGTTCCGCTGTCTCACCACTGTGTACGACACGATATACATTAAGGTGACTCCAGTTTTCAAAGGTGGTGGTCCTTGCTCTGATCAGGCTCACTTTGGGTCCTCCAAGGTCACTTTTAAACAGACTTTTGTATTTATAACTAGTGGAGCAAACCCATAATTATGCAGCAATGGCCAGATACTAGAAACCAACACCCTGAGAGGCCACCCCACCACAGTCAGTAGACTCTCTCATCCCTGGAGCCAACAGACATTACGTTAAATGTTCCAGCACTGAAGGATAAAAACAGTCCGAAGCCTCCAGCCTATGAGAGCATAATCTTCACCATGTGGAAAGAGTTTCCACCAGTTCTAGATCCAGTGCAACCCCACTGAAACCAGGACAGTTCCTCAAAACCCACACCAGACACCCTGTTCTGAATCCAACCCTGCATGTTCACCTTTCACTGAAGACACCAACCTCTTGGGACCTCCAGTCTCACCTTGTTCTCCTCAGGGGTGAAAAGGATGCGGAAAGTTGAAGGCATGCCAGGTGCTACCTTTCGGCACACAGCATTGGGGCTGATCAACTTGAAATAAGGAGAGCTCTCCAAGATGACCTTCACCAGACGAGGAACCTGCAGGAAAGACATGAAACTATGATTTTGCCACTTGTGGAAGCATGAGGAGAAGAGACTGGGCCATGCCCTGGTGACATCCTTCCTTAACCACCTTTCCAAAGCACTTTTAGCTCTGGAGGTACATGCACATAATACACAAGGGTGGACTTAAATGCATTCTGCATGGGCAAAAGGGTACATGTTATACTGGGGGAAGGAAGAAATTCACTTCTAACATACTTGGTTTGAGTGGGGCAGTCAAGCTGCGGTGCTACAGAGTCATGCGGGCAGGCCAGCAAGAGAAGACCACAGACATTGTGGCCTTACTGGGAATAAAAACAAACCTGAAGAGCAAAAGGAGGAACATAGGAAGACAAAGAGACAATCCCAAACACAAGAAGGAGAGAGCTAAGAGAATTTAAAGGGGGCTGTAAAGAAGCGAGGGAGAAGCTCGACATTCCACAAGGAAAGGCTGATGCAGAAGATGAGAGCAGTCAACTTGCCAAAATGATGGAAAGCCAGACGACACCCTTTGGCTGTGCCTATCAATTATGGGCTTCAAGGGCATTTTCTGCCTTGAGATACATGACCAGCACTGACTCGCAGTGTGGTTTCATTATTAAAAGCCAATCTCAGCTCTCCGGAGGCTCTTGCTGCCTGGTGATTGTAGCCAGGCAGCTGCCAGTGCAGGCAAGGCAGATTTCTGAGTATTCCTTCCCACGCCCAGGAGTCCCTGCAGGCACCTTGCTGCAAGTTTCTGCCCTCTGGGATACCACAAGCACAGAGACAGCAAACAGGCCTTTTCTAGCACATGGATATCAACCCCCGAGCACCAAATCTTATCTCAGAAAGTCTAAACCAAGCGATTTTGACTGACAGGCAGCTTCACTGATAAACAACAAACCCACACGAGGTTTAGGAAAAATGGAGATTCATTCTGCACCGCCCACCCGAGCCTGATAACCCATCATAGAATCATAGAATCATTAAGGTTGGAAAAGACCTCTAAGATCATCGAGTCCAACCGTCAACCCAACACCACCATGCCCACTAAACCATGTCCCTAAGCGCCTCCTCTACACGTCTTTTAAATACCTCCAGGGATGGGGACTCCACCACTTCCCTGGGCAGCCTGTTCCAAGGCCTGACCACTCTGTCAGTGAAGAAGTTTTTCCTAATGTCCAGTCTAAACCTCCCCTGGTGCAACTTGAGGCCATTTCCTCTCATCCTATCGCTGGTTACTTGGGAGAAGAGACCGACCCCCACCTCGCTACAACCTCCTGTCAGGGAATTGTAGAGCGCGATGAGGTCTCCCCTCAGCCTCCTCTTCTCCAGGCTAAACAGCCCCAGTTCCCTCAGCCGCTCCTCATCAGACTTGTGCTCCAGGCCCTTCACCAGCTTCGTTGCCCTTCTCTGGACACGCTCCAGCACCTCAATGTCCTTCTTGTCGTGAGGGGCCCAAAACTGAACACAGGATTCGAGGTGCGGCCTCACCAGGGCCGAGTACAGGGGCACGATCACCTCCCTCCTCCTGCTGGCCACACTAGTTCTGATACAGGCCAGGATGCCGTTGGCCTTCTTGGCCACCTGGGCACACTGCCGGCTCATGTTCAGCCCATGGCCAAGGCAGTCCTGAGCTCTCCAAACGCCCTTTGCTCCCAGCAACGCCCTGGGGCAGCGAGTTCTAGGAGCCAATTTCACACTGCAGACAAACGTTTTGGTCACCAAGTCCCTTGGGAGATGAGCAGACGTGGCTAAGACCTTCACCAAAAGCCACCCAGAACATCTCTGAGGGTGGTGAGGAGCAGCCTGAAGACAGAAAAGCAATTTTACAACACACAGGTAAGAGCAGTGAGTATATAGCAAAACACTTCTGTATTTGAATGATTACAGAGCCTCTATTTGCAATATACTTTGCTGTTAGCTGGATTTTTATGGAGCAGACCACCTCAGGCTACCATGCAGTCTAAGTCAGTATGATTCAGAGGAAGCTGGGAAACTGGTGAGAAAGCTTTGAGACAGAGCACAGCGTTGCTTTTCTCCAGGACATTACCAAAAGCCAACAAAATTAGAATATAACAACCTCTCTCGGGATTGTCACCTCTGTCTTTGTGTACTTAAATATGCCAAGGATTTTCCTTAGAGCTGATCTTACTTTTATACCAGTGTTGTCCAATGGTTGGGGTCTTAATAGCTTCAAAACTAATTCATTTTGGAAAAAAATCAACAGTTCACACGTTGCCTCCCCCTTGTAGGGCATACAAATCCCAAGGTGCAGCTGCACAAGTTTATTATTTTTTACTGGGAATGGCAGCAAGGTTGATGCAGATGTTTTTTTCCACTTGAGGAAGCATGAATAGAGTAAATTAACTGTTTGCCTGTTGACTGGTACTTGGCAAAGACAAACATTTTGAAGTGCCGCATGGATAAAGGAGCAGCTGAAGCCAAAAGACTTACTGAGAACAAAGCAGAGCAGTAGGAAAAAGAGAAACTGAGGCACATTTTAATCAGGAAAGAGGATACCTCCAGCAAAGAGTGTCCAAAAATCAGTGTGGACCACACGAACGGTATCACTTGGGCATGGGCATCCATGCTGCATCTTTCCAATATTCCCAAGCTAAATCCAGACCAGGAATGGTACAGTACTCTCCAGGAACATCTGAGGGACCACACCTGCATCCTTCCTTGCCAAAGGGTCTTCCATTTTCAACCATGTCCCTGTCAAAACCCGTAATCTCAGAATATGCTTTGACTACTCTTGCTGTTCCTCCACCTGCAATACGCCCTGACAAGTGTTTTTTTCCACTCGTTTGTTTCCCCCAACAGGTAGATTCGGAGAGGGGGTTAATTCACCTGCTCTCGTGTGCACTTCCATCTTCCCATCCTGCCCTCCTCTCGTGTACACATCTTACTCTTAGTTACAGAACAGTATCTTTAATTACACCTTTCTTTTTCTGACCTTTCTCTGCTTCCAGTACACTTACTGTTATGTATCCAGAGAAACCCTTGCGTGTACAATGTTCTCTCCCAGAGCACTTTCTAACTCAGCTTCTTTCCTCCCTCCTGCCTTTTCCCACCAGCTTGCTCTTGGCACATGCCTCATTTGAGCAAATGTTTCCCCTGCTGAAATTCAAAAGGTCTCAATTTTCCTTTTTACAGCGGAACAAAATTGCTGACATTTTTCAACTTTTCCCTTCTCAACTTTCTTGGGAAATCTCAAAGCGATCACAATTTTTTCAAGTAAAGGTGGAGACCTTCAAGAGCACATTACTCTGGATGTGCTGTGGTTCTCCGAAGGGAAAGCAGAGAGCCACGTCGTCTTAGAAAAACCTAAGCAGAACTGAATTAAGCTTAACAGGACCCTAAAGTGGCACCTAAAGGCCTCCTACCACTTCTCCTAAATCAGTCCGTTTCCACTGCTGTTTCAGAACATCTTTCTGGAGTGCTAATGCCACTAATTATAACTTATTCCAGCATAAAGTGGAGAAGACTCAACCCCTGTGCTTTGACAGGGAGCTGCACAGAGGCAGCTAGGCAGGCTGTGAGGGGCAGAGATGCCCTGCCAGAAACCAAGATCAACCAAGGAGCAGCAGGACATGCTGCACGCTCGAGGTAAAGCCTGAGAGCAGATAAGAACTGTACAGCCCTCAACATTCTCATCAATCCAGGGCTTTCAAGGGGAAGGGTGCTGTCTAGAAAAGCTCCTTTGGGTTAGATACCACCAACGCATGGCCAAAATCAGGGGAAGACTTCCACCATGTTGCGAAATAAAGGAGGTGAGACATTTTATTCTGGATGCGCCGTGCTGCAGCAGATAACTTGCTATGCTGTACACCACGTGAATTACACTGCTCTCTTCCAGCACGCTGTTAAACCTCCGCGTCCCAGCACTTACCTTGTCGTTGTTCCTCAGAATCAGAGGCACTTCGTAGACCTCGCAGGGGACGTAGCTCTGAAATACCACCTCTGATGGGAAAGGCTGAAACAAGCTCTGTTCCAGGTCAACTGTTGAGAACTGGAGATGCAAGACAACAGTGAGAGATTCAGGTGTTGGGAGAAAGCTTCATGAATGAAAAACCTACGCTGATCTCCAGAGAAGTCCAGTCTCTTGGTGAGTACGTCTGCCCAGCTCACACAAGGGAAACAGTAGCCCATCCACCTGTGTTCTGAGCTGATCAAAAGTTTCTGGACCATGTTGAGCAGGCTCAAGCTAAGAAGCTCTTTTGGTAGGTGTTTCTCCAGGTTTCCTTCTCCAACATGCAAGGCAGCGCTTACCCCCAGCAGAGCCCTATGCTAACATGGTCACACAGCTCCAGAGCACTTACTGAAAGAGCCATGAGCACTCACGGAGCAAGTGAAACCCAAGAATTTACATGAGACTCCATGGGAAACAATTTTGGGATGATCTTTACTCTGACACAGACAGACCGAGTCCCACACATCCCCAAATATCTTTTTTGATATAAAGCCTAGAAACCAGTAAGAAGGGAACAGTACCAGAGAAGGTAAGGCCAAAAAGAAAGTAACACAGTAGTCAAGAAAGACAGATGAGGCGAATGCTGGATGGTGATAAGGTTCAGCTCTTTTCTCAGCATTACTGGGCAACCTGAGTAAGGCTGGACTTGGTATCTCCTTTTTCCATGAGCTTTAAACCGATGCTTTATCGTATTCTATTATTGCTGTTTTACTTAATGACACTGCAGAAGCATGTCTGAAAATACACGCAAACAGCAAATGCTTACAGAGCAGAGGGGTTACTTTGAGAAAATTCCTCCCTGCTTTGTCTCCCCTCTTCCAGCTGCACTGTTCCCACTCAAAAGACACAGGCAGGTCTCCTGCTTCTCCACAGAAGTCACGGTCACACTGAAGCTAGTAGCTGCAGCACACTGCCAGTTACTTGTGCGCTCGTCTGATGCGTTCCCAACCTCCTGTGCTGTCTAGGGCAATCCTTAACCAATTTGTTACAGGTCTTGTGCTGGCAATTTTCCACTCAAAAGCCTGCCTCAGTAATCTACCCATTCAGACTGTGTGTTATACTGAGCGGTCCTGTAAGAATAGCAGCTTTAAACATACATCCAAGTAAACATTGATCCAGATAAAGCACATCCACTCCCCCCTGCCCAGGGCAATTCCCCCGTATATCTAGCGGCCTGCAAAGTCTAACACCCTGTAAGGGTCCCACACGTTGTTCCAAACCAAAGCATTAATGCAATTGGTTTTGTTAAACCTTGAGTAATTACCATAGGCCCTCAGTCTTCAAAGGCCGATGCTGCCACAGTTGAGAGAGTCCTATGACCCCGAGCATTTGACAGTGACTACAGCAAAG